ATGGGCAGAAAATAGCCAGTCCTCTCTGTCCAGACATGGCGGCAGAAACGGGGTATAATGAAACACATAAATATTATGTTCTTTTGTGTTTAAATCCAAGAAGTGAAAATCTAACCCAGGCCAAACGGGGCCGTCTATGGACCATGGGAAAATCGCAGCGATGTTGAAGAGGCTTTTTGTTCATCTGCTGATGAACACCACATTACTCTGCTGAGGCCTCTCTTCCACTCTGCTCCCCGCTGACCTCTCACAGGCCACCACACTGAACGCTAAATGTCAGTGGTCAGCCTGCCTTGCTACCTTAATAGAAAACTGTGAGGTAGACGTCTGACCCCAGCAGAGAAAAAAGATACTTACACTGCCAAACCCCTCCATTGTTTCAGAGTGTGAGATCTCTTCACTGAGACCGCTGACCTGTGTGGCCTCGGAGAGAGAAAAAAAAAGAAAGTTACCATGTTTGGCCTGAATGTTCATTCTCGTCATGCCTCAGCCATCACAAATTCAAAAAGGATGGCAAAAGCATGAACCCTGTATGATCAACTGCACTACTGCACAGTATTACAGCTGCAATTAGGGATCTAGGGCTGCACTGGATGCATTCTCATTGAAAGGACCTCTTTCACTGTCTCTAAATACTGAGTAATGAAGGTAGCTCAGCAACAAGACATTCTAAGCATGAACAGAACAGAAGCATTTAATGTTGCCATAGAAGGGGTGAGCAAAACAGCAAAATAAGCGGTGAAACAGCAAAAATATTATGCTTAAGATAACTTAAGATAATAAATTTGTAACTGTGCTATATTGATTTATTTCTTTAATTTGTAGTAGCATGTGTAGGTCTTCTAACTAAAAAGAAAAGAAAACTTGAACACTAATGCAGTCTTTCAACTCAGAACTCATGGTTGCTCAAACTGCAGCACCTCCTTTGTAAGCCACAGTTTAAGCAGAATGGGCTGTTACCAAGTGTCTGCGTGGTTCAGACAAATTTACTACTCAATGAATGCATTTCATCTTTCTCGGTGTCATCTTTTATGTTGTGTAATAAAAAAGCACATCAAACTTGATGTAAAAGTTTCAGTGCATCCACAATCTGTAAAAATCAACTTAGTGTAAAAAAGAACTCATAGTAACTAAACATTAAATTATAATTAAGTTTGAAAAACACTGCTTCTTATGCCATTTTCTGTGTAGCAGAACGTCAGTGTTGCACTTACACCACTGCTCATGAGGCTCAGTGATGCATGTATAATAAGGGTAAAACTAGGACTGTGGTTTTGGACAACAGGGCAGACCACTTATGTAGTCAAAATGGAAAGGAAAAAATAACAATAAATTTGACTTCAAGGCTGTTATTGATCAAAAGCAGTACACCGATAAGTGGTCCTAGCCCTGTTAAGGGTATGATTAAAAGCTGCAAAAGACACAATGTACCAGTAAAATAGTAGAAGTGCATTTTTAAAAAGCTCAAAAGTGAATACAATGTTTCTTTTTATTCATTGCTTCAAGTACTGCACATCACTGAATTCAACTCAACAGGATCAATTACGCTTTCATGGATTCTGGGCACTGTCCAGATTTGAACTTCTCTCAATCATCATCTCCTAACAACAGCTCCACCATTCATGAACCAGTGTTTTTAAAGCATGGATGACACTCAGAATATGAAAAGCTTAGTGGTATAATTTATTATGACTAGGGATATGAATTTTGGTAATCTTTTCTGAGTGATACCCAGCTGTTCTTAGTTGGCAATTAATCGTTAACCAACGTAGCTAAAATCACGGACAGAACCTATGAAAACATCAAACAAAGTGTTTATTAAATAAAAAAATGCAACCCAATGTGAAAGACAATATGGCTGCACCGATACCGACACTGTATCGGTATCAACACCTAAACTGGTACTTAAACGCAGTATCGGTATGGGTGATGCGGACACGTCGGCGGTGTGGGACAACAAGCAGCAGTAAAAAAGCTCATGGCAAAGTCTGTAATGGCAGTTTTTGGTGTTAAGAACACGCTGACAGAGCCGCTTACCTGAACGGCTGAGCTGCTTCTTTCAGCAATCACTCGTCTGCCACTGTGCGGTCACTTACAGTCTGAGTTAATTTTATTGAGAGAGCAGAAGGAACCACCAGACTCTTAGCATAATGATAGTCTTTAGTCTCAATTTAGCCTTTAGCATAGCAGCCTGCTAGCCAGGCCTGTGCATCCACAAATGACATGGAATTTGAAATTTGGGTGTGAAATTTGGATGTGAAACAACATTCAGCTCCGTTTTTATGCCAGAGAAGCTGCTGTGTGCTGATGTGTAAACACCACAGGTTTATCCATATACTATTCAGTTCTGTTTTTAACTCTTTTGCACAAAAAAAGATATTTTATATTTACTTAAGTTGTTAAACATGATTCTTTTTGTTACTAATTACATAATAGCAAATACTAAATATATACAGTAAATAAACAAAAATAAGTTTTCCTAAGCATCTAATGAATATAATTCAACAAGTAAATGGCATCTAGCCAAGCTGAATGTGTTTTGTTCGTGATGTTTAAAAAATGTAATTATAATTATAATAGACGAATACATGAGTTAGATTAGATAGAGTTAGTATCGGTATCGGTACTTGGTATTGGCCGATACTAAAGGATCAGGTATTGGTATCGGTATCAGAAGGGAAAAAGCGGTATTGGTGTATCTCTATTAGTCCACTTACACTGAACACATGTTATTAGCCTATATATTAACGAATATATATGTTCTGACTACGGCTTTTTCGAAGTTCATATGCATACTTGAAACAACAATCAACATAAAGTCGATAGTTCACAGATTTTTTTTTTGCCCTGAGAGTATCTACACAAGCTAAACACATTTTCAGACTATAGCTTAAGACTACACTCAACAGAAGCAATACCATTTTAAAAAAGGAGTCAGCTGTAGCCTACCTTAGCACTAAATCTCCCAGTAATTTTTGTTGAGAAATACCAACATGAGCAGGGGTTAGTCTTTTACTCCAACATGTTTGCGAGTCAAGGTCAACTCTTGCCAATGAGCGTCAAAAAGATGGACTTTGATGGCCCTTCATCATATAATAGTGATTTGTAGCTACTCAAAAAATTGTGTAAACTACACTTAGGATGGCTTAATCTCGGCTCTATGCTTTTGCCAATGGCACTGGCGCTATTGGTTTAAAATGAAGTGGAGTTGAGGAGTTAACTTCATAAACTCTGGGTGCAGAGAAAACTTGGGAGTTGTGCATCACTATCTAAACATTTTTTCACCAAAACACCAGTCAATCATTTATGTATTTATCAGTTAATGGTTAATCAGTTAGTCATTAATATCCTTAATCATGACAATGATATCCTAGTATCATATAGCCCATCACTCTGGGAAACTGCCTCATATGGCAGAGCCAAATGCTGTTTCCCAGTGTATCCCCTTGTAGCACAATCAAAGGCCTATCAGGACTTGAGCATACACTGATGTTGTTGCCCATAGGTGACAATACATTAGGAGGAAAAAAGTAAGTAATAATTTCAGGGCTTGTTTTTATTATTTATGATTTATAAAAAAAGTGAAGAATGGAAAGCTTACAGAAAATGTGAAAATATAATTTATATATATATATATATATATATATATATATATATATATATATATATACAAACACTATATAGTGGAGAGATCTACTTGAGGTATGGGCAGTAAAACACATAACCATGTTTTACCAAAACACTGGCACTGTTGAGTAAGCTCTTTCTGTTGTCCTTTATGAGTTTCAGCATGTTTATGATGGCAATATCTCGCTACTGTATCTAGATGAATGACAATTTAAGATGCGTTTATTTATTATCAAAGGTAACAAATTATTTCCCTTTCTCGTTTACCCCCGTTTATTCTTTTCCACGAGATAGAAGACTATTTGATATTTTCTTCCTCATCTCCTCTCTCTGTGGTAATTCACATAGCTTCCTCAAGTTTCTGCTGAAACAGCAAAACAAACCCCAGGCAAAATGTGAAAGATTATCCCCTACCATGCAAGTTACAGCGAAATGCTACACTTTTCACACTAAACAGAGCTCCGCCAGTTGTGACTGTAAGACATGTTAAGCTACCGAATCCACACTTTGTATATATGAAGTGTAGTAATGTGTGTTGTAACAAGTGGGCCTGAATTTTGCACATTGTTTCAGATTACATTCTAAGCAATAACAATGAAAATAACCCGCTGCCTCTCAGTCCCAAACCGAAGGACTGCAGGATACCGCTCCACTGCACACCTGCATGTGCTGCACAGACACTGTAACTCATTCAAAAAGCTATTTGCCATTCTAACACCTCATAGTGCTCAACCCAACCAATAACTCTCACTGTCTCTGAAAAAGTGCTACATTTCAGCTTTTCCTCAACATGTGCATCTTATTGGACTAAGAAGTGATTTTTATTATATTCATGTTTCTCATCTGGTGATTTGTTTTCTTAAGTACAAATAGAGATGTGAGGATGAATGTTTTATAGAAGCCATAAAATGCAATAAAGCGAGAGGCCCAGACAACTGGTTGTAAAAGCCAGTAGTTTCTATATGCTAAATGCTGTTCTCAGAATACCACGATTGCCAGCTCTTTTCATTTCTACCACAATGAAAGACTGAATCACAGGGTCTCCAGGAGCAGGACCACTCAGTTCTCGCACATGCATGTACACATAACACAAACAGTCCTTGGAGGACAATATTCTATTTGGACTGCAATCGCCTCAACAAAGCAAACATCTGTTCCGCACTTATTGACAATAAGTTCAGCACTCTAGCCTACATTAGCAATCAGCTGACTCATATGACCATATGTCAGCTTTGACTGAGAACAGTAACACATCTACAACCTCTTTCTAGAAAAAATCCTCTCAAATCCACCATATATTTACTAATGCATTCTGAGTGATATAGTGAATGACATAAGTTATAAACCTCCCAGCTCCACACATTCTCACTCACCAGCCCTCATTGTTTCTCTTGCAATTAATGGCCTCAGCAAGGCTCAGTCAGCTCCTAATCCTGGATGTGAGGGCATTCTCCCCACGAAGTCCTCTTACTGAGCTATTGTGCAAGCCGAAATGTTTGCTCGACATCCTTTGTTATCGTCCTGCAGGGATGAAGGATGTAATTTCAGAGCTATCCAAACAGAGAACAGTTCGACTTGTTGCCAAATGAAACGTCCCCAGCCTAGAGCCGACCCGTTATCTCCAGTGCACCGCGTTTACCTGGACAGCCCTCCAAGCAGATGTCTCCTATGAAGCTGTTTTAATATCGTTTGAATGGCCATGTTAATCTAGGAGCTGTGAAACTCGAGAGGGCAACAGGTCAGACAATCGACCCAAGCGCACGCACGCTCTGAGAGAAACGTGATGCACATGTGAAGGCGCACTCAGACAACTGTTCACTGCTACATGAAACCTGCATCAATTACATCTTAAAATAGAATGAATTTTTGGTACAAGCATGGTAAACACAATATCAGTTGTTGACTAACGACAATACTAACAACAGCAACAAAAACAATATAAAATATAATACAATATAAAATAATCTTTGTATAGCACCTTTCATACATTTAGGCTTAAATAACTCACTGTGCTTCACAAAAAGTGTTGTACTAGAAAAGGCAGACAGGTAAGAGCACTGAGAAAGAAAAAGCAAAAGCAACTTTTTTAAACTGAGTAGACAAATAATTCCCCATCTTTAGAGTATAAAAACAAAAGCTGCTTTACCATGTTTCTTACGTCTTAATCTAGGAACATCTAGCCAGCATCTGATGACCTTAATATTCTATTTGGAATACAGTATGTCTGACACTGTGTAATAACTGAGATAAAAGTCACACTGCTCTCACCACATAAATGACCTACCTGTACAAACAAATACAATGTGCACCTCTACACCTTGTTGAACCTGCTAAACCCACATCAACTACGGCAGCTTGCAGGAGAAAATCAACATGATAGTCACGCCAAGAACAACCCAACGCAAACACAGATGAAGGCAAGTAAAAGTGGAGTTCAAAAAAGACAGTAAATAATGAAGTAAAATAAACTACACAAAAAATGTAAAAATACTTACAATTTTACTAAAACGTAGTTTTAGCAGTCTCCCTTAAGGACTCTAACTAGTATAGTGTAGTGTTCTTGCCCAGGTTGGGGATCAAACCCCAGTCTGTAACATGGGGGACAGAGGTGTACTACACTACACCAAACACTATTTATTAAATTTATAAACATAAAATATTCATAAAAGTTGAGTGTGTTTTAAGAGGAAGTGATGAAAAACAGTCAAAGCATTGTCGGGAACTGGTGTAGCTAGACGCTTGTTTACATTATGGAGGTAGTATTAGCAGCCAATGCTAGTGACATTTTAACACTCACAAACCAGGCCATGGATAATTTTATTCAACGCGATTTCCTGTTGGTTTGTGTGGAATAGGGATGCAACGATTATTCGACTTAGTTGACTAAAATTGACGACCAAATTAGTTGGCAACTAATTTAGTAATCGATTAGTCGGTGACGTCATTACGCGTCTTTCTCGCGCTCACTAGGAACGTTTTGACATTACAGTTTACTGGAGAGTTAACAACAGCGCGACGGCAGCCTCAAGAACAAAATCCTCAAAAGTGTGGAGCTAAACTCAGAAAAAGGTTGCCAGATATGCCATTTGTAAAGCTGACCTTAGCTGGCACGGGAGCACATCCTCCATGCAGGAGCATCTGAAAAGGAAACTTGTCGGCTCACTGGATGAAGAATATACATCTCGGTAATACTCCGCATCCCAAATCACATACCAGCACACTAAATAGTGTGTAAAAATAGCGCATGTATCATTAGAAGTGCACTCATTAGTGTAGTGTGTGAAGTACAGAAGTGTAACTACTATTCACAGCGACCCTGTTCACTTTCCAGATAACGTTCACAGTTTCAACACTGCATCGTCGTCTTAGCGTCGAGGCCACTGGGGCGTTCGATTTCGGCGAACACAGGAGAGCGACTGCGAACGATTTTCTGCTCTCCGCGAACGTTTAGCTCCACTCGCTAACAGTTTATGGAGGTAGTTCTCCGTGAACACACAGGGTAGCTGGACAAAGGGTTACTGTTGAAATGATGTGTTTACACAAAATCGTTCAAATTTAACTGTTCATAGAGAACAAGTTTGCCACAAACATTCTCCACTTTTCCATCTGCTCCATCAGAGCGCATCTCCTCTGCAGCGGTGAATATCCGCTCTCAGAGGAGATCAGGCCTCTCACAGGAGCACGGAGAGACGCTGACTTTCCTCCATTTCAATAAAGACCTGTGATTGTAAAATTTAGTTGCAGCATAGTGTAGACAGACAGCAGAATGCACTGAACACAGATTGCACTGTTTAAATTTAACGTTTAAATTTAGATTGATTTTTTTATTTACTTGATTAAAGGAAGACTGATTTAGTTTTGTTATAGTTTATTGCTGCTACTTTGCACATTCTTGGTCATAAATTTGGACAGGAAAACACAGGAGTTTTTTTTTTTATCTTTTGTATTAGCAGGCAATTCATTAAAACTGAATGGTATTCATCTTTATTCTCTTCATTGTTAGTTAGCAAATGCATAAAACAACGTCAAGCTAAATTTAAAAGCTAATAGCTACATAGAAGTTATTTGGTAATGTAGTGATTCATAATCCGAATAATCGATTATTCGTTTCAGTAATCGATAGATTATTTGACTATCAAATTAGTTGTTTGTTGCAGCCCTAGTGTGGAAGTCATTTTTGACTGACTAGGAAAGCTTGTGGCTGTCACAAGCACCAAAGTTAGTGATATCATGAATGGATATGTGCTAACCCATAGTGGTACTGCATGTGCCCTGCATCTACTTATTAGTAGTATTCCTTCATTGGCCGTCCAGGTCCTCCAACAGTCCTGCGAGCCTCTGCCTTAGGCCAGTCATAATGTCACTAACACTGGTGCTTGTGACAGCTTTTCTTACTTGGTCAAGATTCACAACCACACAAAACATACCATAGAATTATCACTAGCCGTGGTTGCTAATGTTACCTCCATATTGTAGACAAGCATCTAGCAACACCAATACCACAAAAATTTTACTTTTTTTTTTTTTACTTCCCCTTAAATATGCCCCACACTACAAAGTCCCTCCGATGTCCCACTCACAGCATTTGATTGACAGGAGTGCACATTCAAGGAGGGTTGAAAATACATTTTAATTTTAGCAGAGCTGGAGCGCAGCAATGAGGAAATGCTATTTCAAATGGGCGACTTTTATTCTGTTTTTAATATGCAAGAGTCATACTGTTAAGACAATGAAAATTAAATGTCAACAGCACTTTGCTTTTCCATTTAAAATTTTTCCAGCCATTATACACAGAATTGCAAACAAATACAAGTTTTGCTGTTGAATTTGTATTATGTCTTACATAATGCACATTCACATGGGAAATTTTAATTAGCATTTTCAATATGCATTAGAATTGTAAAAAGTCTGGAATATAGTTTCATAGATCTAACGTTCAGAAAGTATAAGAAGCATGGATCAAACATCTTCCATGTTAATTATTGTATTTTTTGCCCTTCAGCAACAAAAAGGACTCTGTTTAATTGTCATCTACCTATGAGACAAACAAAGCGAATCAGCCGGTTTACTTTCCTTTACTTCAACACTGGGTACCGCTAGAATGCTATCTAAGGTTATCTAGTTAGCTAATGTTAGCTGTTACTGACTGAAGGTACATTAACAACAGACTTGGCACTTAAAAGTCTGATATTCTTTTGATCTTAAGTTTACCCCATTCGGCTTCGAGCACACAAAGGAAAACATAACAGCTGTCAGCTTAAAGCCAAGGTACCTCAAATGGAACACTGTTAGAACAACCTTAGCTAGCTCAGCTGACTAAATTCACAGGAACAAACTTTGCTTACCTGATGTTAATTTTGCTAGATCACGATAAGCTATCCTGAGCTTAAACTGATTATCAGCTCATATTAATTTATCAGATTTACAATGGCACATCATTATAAGTTGGTTAGAGTGTGTTAGCACGACTGTAACAACAACAATAATTAATGTTAGTAAAAGTAACGTAGTGATGTGTGATTTGTGAAAGAATCGTTTTTAACCGATTCTTTTCAGTGAATTGGTCAAAAGTCAAGCTATCAGACTTTTCTGTAGCACATTTAAGTCCATGTTATAGGATGAATCATTCTAATACAATTCAAATAATAACCTACACACACTTTAACTTCCCCTAGCTTAACGAATCAGTTGAATCAGATGTTCGATTCATTGAAATGAACAGCTCGAAGGAATCTGTTCAGTAAAATGAATCAGCCATCGGTATTACCTGCTGGGTTGAGCTTGCGCTGATCCGCCAGGTTTTCTTGAATTCTAACGCTCAGAAATCCAAGTGTGGTTCATGACTTAAAAACACCTTTATATTACTTTAATTATTGTCTTGTTGCCGACAACATGGCACCGTTTTGCAGCATGTGACAAGCTCACAGCAAGTGCTAGCCGGGCTTAAGTAGCCACCTTTAGTATAGACAAATAAAGCAAAACTTGTCTTTTTGTTCAATAAGTTTACACAGATTTTAAGATGAAAAAGAGAAAACACCTGAAAACAAGGATTTTTTTCAACCTCATTAGTATCTTTTATCGTTTTAAATAAGTATATTAATAAAACTAACATTAACAGCTGGTAAAGCTGTAGTTATTCAGAAACAATGTTCCATATTTTACTGATGTGTGATGTTTTTATTTGCTGTCCTTCACTGGACAAAAAATAAAATTATCATTGGTTGACACACTGTCTCTTGTCATATATAATTAGATGTGTGTGTGTGTGTGTATCTATCAATTGAGCTGTCTGTCTGTCTTATAGATAGTCTTACAGATAGATAATATATCATGCAGCATGGCTGGAAAAAATATTAGTTTCTTACAACATAGAATTATATTGAATTAACTTTGTTTGCACTAATTCAGCAGACTTTACTTGTAAGTGTTACAACTAATC